TAGGAAATTAGTTATTCTTGCATGTTTAAAAAATCTCTTTTTCTATACTTTATTTTATTTTATTCTGCTGCCGTTAGATCAATAAATGATGTCAAAAAAAACAGTTAAATATTCATATATCTTTGAATATAAATAATAACCAATTTATGCTTAAGATATTAATACGTTTGTTTGGATATTCATGAGTGCTCAAATAATTTATAATACGCGTTATTCAAGTGATTTTGTAGTTAGTAATAATTGCTTGCGTCTAGTCAAGTTTTACCAACTAATCACATTTCAGACAATTTCCTCTTTATATGAGATGTATTTACCCTATTTCTTTAAGGTTAACGAAGAACTGGTAGTTTAATTTTCTCACACTTCTTTGAGTAGGTCATACATTTATATTTAATTTTACATAGCCTTACTTTCCAAAAGGTATTCTCATCCAGGCTGGAGTTTTGACCGCTCCAAGGTCTCTTCAGCACCCCAGTAGGTCTCGAGTCTCGCTTGTGATAGCGCAGCGTATAATCTCTACACGTTGACCACTACGCCACACTACCACGAGGGCCCTTCAGTCGCAGGACAGGTTTAAAATTTCTTTAAATTCCTATGAATCAGTGGCTTGGGCTATACTAAAATGATAATTATTTTTTTATTCTAATGGTCCTTCTTCGATTCTTTTGAGTCGTAGACAAAATATGAATTGGGATCTCCTTTTTATTAAAAAGGCTTTTGGGATACAAATTATTGTGAAACCCATTGTAAATAGGTTTAACTATCAGACTTTAGAATAGTAAAGTAGCCACATGATGTGCGATAGTTTTGAAATAATTTGATTGTGGTTTATTATATCGGTATTTTATGTGTTAAAATATCTATCACTGTTCATATTTGGATATAAAGAGTGGCACTCCTAAAGCAATTTAGGCTTTGCATCATTCAAACAAAGCAGGCAAAAATATGAAAACCTTGATTGATCTAACCCAATACCTAGCTTATTGTCGTAAATAATAATTGGTAATTATTGATGAATAAAAAATGCTTTCTTTGTTTATTCCTAAAATTCTGAAAATTATTCATATTTCCTTCAACTGATTCAGGTTGCCCCACACTTCATAAGCCTGATGATCTGCGCACCTTGGATCCAAGGGATAGTCCTCATCTGCTTGGCCTTGTCCGTCTCCGTCTCCATGCTGACGCTGCCGCTATTGAAGAACTGACCAAAGACCTTGTTCGGCCAGCCTCGTCTCGCAGTAAATTGGCGAATTCAAAAGCACTATTGGCTAATGCTAAGGAAGAGGAGATAAATGACGATGCTCTCGTTCTTTTATACCATCAAGCGCAGGCAAAGCGGGACCGGATTATCAAAGCAGCTCGACTGTTTCTCGATAGCCTGACAGCTTCCGAAAGATGGGCAGGATTTTGTCCAGGTGTGTCAGCATAATATATTAGGTTATATGATGTATCTTCGCCCGTCATGCCTCATTAAACCTCAATCATTTGAAATATATATGATAAAACCAAAAAAATGTTATAGACATACATTTCCATCTAAATTTCTTTTGTTATTATGAGATGTATTCGCCCTATTTCGTTTAAGGTGAGGAAGGACTGATAGTATAATTTTACCACAATTACATGAGTAGAGCTGACGTTTCCATTGAATTTCACAGATCATTGCTTTCCCCAAAGTTGTTCTCATCCAGAGTGGACTACAGTTTCGACTTCGCATATATCTTATCAACATCCCCAGCGGACGTTCAACTGTGATAGTGCAGCATATGAGTATGACACGTTAACCGCTCGGTCACATTGCTACGAGTGCCCTTGGATCACAGAGCAGATGTCAATTTCATCGTGAATATTAACGTCAATTAGATAGTGTACTTTTTGTAAGATCATTTGATCGAATAATTGAGTTTTTTTGTAAAAATCATGTTGCCTTTATAAAGAGTAGTTTGACCTTTTTTCGCAACTTGGTTATATTGGTAGGAAGACTTAGAGGAACGCACCTAGTCCGGAGTCCATTATATGCATGATACTTTCTAGAGTCGGACCGTGGACGTTGTACATTCCCAGACGTTTCGTCGACATCGTCAGTGAATCTTGCCATTCTTAGTACCACACTACAACTCATCAAAGAAACAAGTGATGCCGATCTTTTGACCAATTAGGGATATGAACAGGATAGACGCGGCGGATACTAGAGCTAGTTGGCTGAGAATAGGCCTGTTTTACCATAGACATGGTCCATGTAACAAAGGCTTGAAGATAAGAATTACTCATACTTAATTTAAATAAACAAGTAAAAGATTGTGATAATGAAGGCGTGATGTGAGGATATACGATTGGTGTTTAGCTCCGAGCGGAATGCAAGATACCACGATTGTTTTGCAGATAAATGGTCAAATAATCGGCCTACATTGCCTCTGACGAGTTGTACTATGGTGCTAAGAATGGCGAGACTTATTGACGATGCTGGAGAAACGTCTGGGAATGTACCACGTCCACGGTCCGTCTCTGGAACCTACATTCATACAATCGACTCCGGACTAGGTGCGTTCCTCTAAGTCTTCCTACCAATATAACAAAATTGCAAAAGCAAGGTCGAACAATTTCTATACAAAGAAATGCGACTGCAACCAAACAAAAGACCGCACCATCTTTGTTTTTATATCGTTCGTTTGAGCAAAAATTAGGTTTTAAAATGTCGGTTCGACCTTGCTTTCGCATCTCGGTCGGGGCGTCAGAGAGACATTGTGGAACATAAGCAGTCCCGAATCCTCTGCATTGGACCATTGACATGATACATTCCCAAACGTTTCGCGGGCATCGTCAATGAGAGATGCCATCGTAAGCACAAAGTTACAACATATCAAAGTGACAAGTGAAGGCTCCCCTTGACCAATTTTCTGTTTCACCGTTGTGAAATTACTCCTTGCCTCTATTTTTTTCTACCTTCAAGTGACGCATCTCTTTCTCTCAAACCTAATTCATATGGCCCATCCACTTATTCAAACACTGGTGATTTCTATCTAGCCCACCTATATCTTTAGCCTTTAATTTCATATCCTACATCTCACAGGTGGAACCCATAGGCAAATCTTTTGACCAATTTCACGTCTGACTCCTCTCACTGCACATAAGTATGGTTCGATTGGAAGTTAAGAGATATTCCAGCATGCGATTTATTTCGGAAGTTTTCTATTAAGAGTTTCCGCGGAGCGAATCACCCCAACATCCAAGAACGGTAAGTGTCCGTTCTCTTCCACATTGATTGTAAATTTAACTTTATCATCCATTTCGTTTATGAAGATCAGGAAATCGTCCAATTTCTCTCTTCCATGCGACTAAATTACGAATTAGTCATGCATATATCGCGTAATTACTGTCTGCTTTTGGAGTGGCGTTTTGAAATTCTCCTCCAACTTGTCCATGAAGACATTAGTCCACCGAGGTGAGAATGGTGAGCCCATAGGTAGATCAAATATTTGCTCATAAATGCGGCCGTCAAATTAGTCGTCATTATTATTAGGCTGATTAATCGGGTTAGAGACTCTACACATTCGCTCCGTCTCCAGGTTGTCATTTTCTTTTTCCAA